TTTAGGCATATTTAGTAAGGGATTCATCTCCCACTAAAATTATCAAATTTTAAATAATATTAGTGATGGATTAGCGAAGGATGTGATCCTCACTAAAAATTAGCGAGGGATTCTAATTAGCAAAGAAAATATGATCCCTCATTAAATTTATCGAACCCTTTTTTAGGGACAAAATCTCTCACTAAAATGTAATTTAACAAAAAAAAATAGTATTTAGTGAGGAATTTATCCCTCGCCAAATTTCATTTTTCTAATAGTGATTGGGGCAAGGACCACAATTGTGCACACTCATCGACAACTAGCAAGAAGAGTCCTTGACTCTTCTCTCCTAACAGAGAGAAAAAGCTCCTACCTAAAGGAGAAGTACACTTAAGATAAGTCTAAAGACTCTAAGCAATCCAACTTGATGGTAACAATTGACAGTTCTTGAAATTGATTCATTATTTGACCCTTAAAATCAACAAAGAAAAAATTGTTATAAATTAAAGATGGGTTAAAAGGTAAAAATGTTTTGGAAATTTTTTGTAAGAGACACTTGGTATCCTAAACTTTCTTGATAACAATATTGCCTTAGAACTTTAAAAAAGAGCGCAATTGTACCCAACCATTAACTCTAAAAAAGTTGACCATTAAAAAGATTCATTTGACCAAAAAGATTGACATGTATCACATGCTGAATGTTCCTCTTCTTCATCAAGCACGCCAATTTAGACCATAAAAAATTCCTTATTCTTTTTCTAAGTTTCTGATAATGCCTCATTCTTCTTCTAATCATCAATTGAATCGCTGAGAAGCTACTAAATGCATGTCCACCACCCAACTCAAAAAGAAGGTGATGGCTACCATGTCGTGGCACTCACCTCCACCATCACATTGGATTTCCCTCAAGCTCATTAATTCTCTTCTTTCTAAGTTTCCCCTCTTCTTCTCATCGTCAATTGAAAACCCATAGGCTTTGGACAATTTGATAGCAATAGTGATGGTTTTAGCTTTGGCAACAGTGATTCAATTGACAACAAAATAAAAGAAACTTCCAATCAACCCTTATTGAAGTGAAAATTTTTCAAATTTGCATTGTATTCTATCTCTTAATTATGAGTTTAGATATGGATAATATTAAAAAATGTAATTAATACTCTATCAAGTGCCTTATAGTAAGGACTAAAAAATTCTTCTAGAAGATACCCTATAATAGGGACCAAAATAGTATGTATTAATTTTTGTTTTCAGGTTAATTTGATTTAACACATTTCTTATTTTGGCAAATGATTTAATACATTTCTAACTATAATATTTTCTCCTTCAATTTCATATGTAGCTGGAGAGGCTCCCGTAAAAGTGAATCCCTTCGTGATTTCATATTCATTGCAACGTTCCAATACTCTGTGGTCTACATCGATCCTGTCAAAGCTTTCATGGATGGAGCTTCGTCATCACAGTCTCAAAGAAAACAAAAAAAGCCTTCCTTTTTCAAGATTTTGACCAATGATCCCTCTACCTGCCGGGTTAGTATCATTCTCACTTAGCTTGATTTTAGTTTTATTTTTGCTTAATCTTTAACATAGTTTTAAATTATAGAAGATCAAAACAATTACATACATGTTTAATTTCCAAATGTTGATTCCTAGAAAGATTCTTTCATCACTAGGTTTTCTTATTTGGCTAACTAATATAAAATAAAGAGGAATGAGCCTTAAACTTAATCTTTAGAGTTTTGAGTTAAGATGTGAATTATTCCACTACTCTTGCTCATTCATCCTCTCTTTCCATTTTTGGGCGATCACTCTCCATTCTCAACAAGTGGTATCAAAGTCAAGTTATAATAGCACTTATTGGGACTAGAGTGTGACCACGCGGAAATGAGAAAAAGGAGAAACACACGAGTAGTTCACAACAATCTTTCTGGAATGTGTTGGACATCAAACAGATACAACGTCAACCCTTTTCTTCAACATATATTAATTTTATATAGTATTTGTTTTCTAGTATTGCTCAAGTTTAAACAAAGCTAAGAAAAGTGTGTGTGTCTGTGTCGAAGTTTGATCGAGCTCTTGATAGCCTTCTTGCTCTTTTTTGTGATAATATATAGGAAATCCCAAAAGATTTTCTCAAGATCACTGGTGAAAAAGTGGCAAAGGAAACGCGGCTTGAGACATATTCTGGTAAATCTTGGGGTGTCAAAATAGAGATGATCGGGGGTAAATTTTATTTCAGCAAGGGATGGAGTAAATTCATCCAAGACAATAACGCTCAATATGGAGATCTCCTAGTTTTTAAATATTTACCAGATTGTTCAAGATTCAAGGTTAAAACTTGCGATCATAAAACATGCTGTGAGAAGCAAGACGCTTTTGGAGATCAGAGATCTGTAAGGAACGAAGTACAAGATGATGAGAAGAGAAATGTTCTTGTTGGAGATGGAGGAAAAAGAAAGAGGAACGATGATGAAAAAATAGATAATGATGATGACTTGGTAAATGAAGATGGAGATCAATCGAAATCTTCAAAAAAAGATGAAGTTGATATTGATTCTAACCCTTCTGATGATGATTATGGTGATGTTGTCATCGTTGTGGTCACTGTTGATGATGATAATGAGGATGACAATGACGATGATGACGCCAATAATAAGGAGGATAAGAAGGAGGAGGACAATGATAATGACGATGAGAAGGAAAATAATGATGATGACGAAGATGATGATGATGATGAGGAGGAGGAGGAAGATGTTGGTAAGCTTCAATGCTTCCTCCTTTTCATTTCTAAATTTATCGTTGTATATTTAAAGCACTTAAAACTCTTTGAGCTTGACATTTTTTAAAATTATTCTTTGATCAATGCAACATTATGATTCAAATTTTAATTTAATCTTCATGTTTTGAGACTTCAGAACTCAAAATTAGATTGAAATTGGAAATATATTACATCAAAGAACTTGAATTTAAATAAAAAATTAATTCCTTTTCCCCAACACTTAAGATTAGAGGTTAAATTCGTGACCAAAAAACTTTGTTATTAGATTGTATAGGAGATAATACCAAAATTCAAGAAACATTATAATTCAAGTAATTTATTAATACTTTTTTTAAAGTTTAAAAAGTGTTCCATTAAATTTTTGAGGAAAATCTTATTTTTTTACAAAACAAGCTGCACAATTTTATTATGATTTTTAAAATATAATATTTTCAATGAACACCTTTAAAAGAACTATTTTTAATTAGATTGAATATGATTCAATTACTCCTTCTAAAAAATGTAAGATAGTTTTAACTGAATTTTATTTCTCAACAAAGTAGTTACTTGCCTTCTAACTAACCCTATCATTCCATATTTACCCCTATTTAATAGAACATTTCATCCTAAAATAAACATAAAGTAATTTATTTAATAAAAGTACTTTAAAAAAAAAGGTAATGATTATATTTTAACAGAATAAAAATATCTTATATTTTTTAACATCTAACCCCTAAAAATACCTTATATTTTTAAATGGAGAAAGTACTTAATAGCATTAACTAACATTCCAAAACTGACTTGGGTACAGATGATATAAGACGCAGAAGATCCCTTCCTGTGGTCAGATTGGAGAATCCTTTCTTCCAAGTTACTCTCAAGCCTTCACATATCAGTAACTTTCTGGTAAGCTGTAATTATCCTAACAAATAATTATAATTCTCTATCATTTAAATTAACATAGCATTTTGGTCTCTCAAACTTGAAGATATATATATATATATATAATTGGTACAGAGTGTACCATTAGGATTTAGCAGGCAATACATATGGAGGAAAGGAGGGCCAAGCAAAATTGAGATCAAGCTTGAAAGTTGAAACAATGAGGTCGGTGAATACGTGGGATCTGGAGCCTCAAGTGTATGGCAAAGATGATAACGAGCAAGCAAGACTGACTGGTAAGGGATGGCTGAAATTTGTCTCAGACAATCATTTTGCAGTGAAAGATGTCTACACCTTTGAGAGGATCCAAATTAATGACCAGTGACAGAGGGAGAGGGGATCAACAAGGGCCATGACCCCGTCAATTTTTTTAAAAAAAAAAAATTATATTATATAAATGTTATATATTTTTAATCTCCCTAAAATTTAAGAAAATTTTGTAAGATATATATATTTTTAATCTTGACCTCCGTTATTCTTAGTGACTCCATCCCTATTAGTGACGAGAATGAGCTTCTTTTGCGTGTTTATGTTCATCATTGGGATGCTCCAACGAAAAGGTTTACTCTAAAAGTTTAGTTTTGATCATATGCCCTGTGAATTTAGAGCAAGAGCTTCTGATCTCGCGTGTTTATGTTCATTAATGAGTATGAATATGGATATATGCGCCATATAATATGTGTTATGTGTGTGAACAGAATCTGACTATCCATTTGTTGTCTGATTGTAAATACTAAAATATCACTAGTGGTGCATTATACAAATTCTGAACAAATGAGTTGTACTATTTATGATATATAAATATTAATTTATTAGAATTTTTATATCATACTACATAGAATATATTGATTTAATTCAAAAGAGAGGACATGGTCAAAAAAAAATCACAAGAGAGGACTGAGTAATTAGTTTGTAGGTACCTAGATTTAATTAACGTTAAGTGATTAAATGAAATAGCAAAACATCTAGCTTTTAGTCTAATTATAGTTAGAAAAGAAAACCTCATTTATAAATTTCTCTTACCCAAATATATTTCTTCACTCCTAATAACTTTTAAATCTACAAATTATAGTTTAAATCTACTAAATTCCAAACAAGCACAAAGTCTTATATTGTAAATAATGTATATTTAACCAGGTAATCTTAGAAACTTATGAAATTTTTAAATAAGTTAAAAAGTTTTAAAATTTTTTTAATATAATAAAATATATTAAAAATCACTTATAAATAAAAACATTGATTAAAACTTGTTTGCAATTGATCAAAGTTAGCGGTCCTATAATTTTCAGAATTTGGATCTTAAAGTGTATTGCACAGAAAGATTGAGTTCAGGCTGTAGAGGATTCGTCCCTCATAATGATCTGGAAGAGGAAGATGATGTCTGCACTTTTGAAGCCATCGATGAGCATGAGCTTCGCTTCCGTTCCGTGAGTGTTCTTGCTCAGCGATGGGATGCTCGCATGAATGGCTTTATCCGGAAATTCCAATTTTGTTTCACGGATTTCAAGTTTGTAAGACTTGATTTAGACATCTTTCTCGGGTTCGTTGATGTTTCAGATCTTTAAAAATTGAACTTTTGTTGGTGGTGTTACTTAGTGTTAACCATCAAATATCAGTTTGATTAATTAAAATCTGGGTCATTAGATATAATTTTCTCCGAGAATGAAGTCAGTCACGAGTCAAAAACAACTTCAGACCAAATTCCACGATTTTAGAAGACAACCTCGAACTTCGAAACCCTTTTTGCGGTTAAAAATAGAATTTCAAGTGCGTAGCTCCACGACAATGGATTCGAGCTCTTCTCCTTCGAACACGATCTCCGTGAAAGGTACAATCCCTGTTGCTTCAACTTTCGTCTCTCCTTCGATCAATTTCCCGTCGCCTCCAGCCGATGATTCCTCTGGCGACCGGAAGCCCATTGCTCTGTGGCCAGGAATGTACCATTCGCCGGTGACCACCGCCCTGTGGGAAGCCAAGTCGAAGATCTTAGTGAGACAGCTTGACCCGCCGAAAGACGCGCCTCCGCAGAGCTCGTTGCTTACGAAAACTCCGTCGCAAAGCAGGACTTGTATACTGTATACCTTCTCGTCAGATTTTGTTCTCAGAGAACAGTATAGAGATCCATGGAATGAGGTTCGAATCGGGAAATTGCTTGAAGATCTTGACGCCCTAGCTGGAACTATTTCCGTCAAGGTACGTGGTTTTGAATCCTCCCCTTCGTCGTTTACTGAATTTTGGGGGAAATGCAAATGCCCAATGGAGCTCAACTTCGCTGAAAGTATCCTTCAACTTTGAAAACCCTAGAAGTTTACAAGGTTTAAACCCTTTGATCAATTTGTCGCATTTAACTAGAAGACGAGTAAGTTACAAGATGTGAAGTGTGGAATTCATCGAACATTTATGCAATAACCAAAGAATTGTTCTTGCTGATATTGAATTTCTACGAATTGCTTTCACAGTTCCAAGGATCTTTCCCATCCTCAGAATCCTAAAGCTTTGTTTTCTGGCCAATCTAAATTCTAGACTTTGTTGCTCTTTAAAACTGAGAATTTGGATTAGATGGAATGAGAATGATATTTAAAAAAAAAAATTGTAGTGTGTTTGAGCCGAATTTCTTGTCTTTACAATCAGTCTTCCTTTTCTTTCTATCACTATTTGAAGGAAATCAGATTCTTTTGCAGCAGCAGCGACACAGCACAGTTATCCGGATTTGGTGTGTGTATTTAGAATTTTAATTCTTTTTTTAAAAAATAAGATGTTAAATAAAACTAATCTGTTAACAGCTAACTTTAAGAAAACCAATAAAAAAATAATTAAACTAACCTCTTAACAGCACTTTTCATTTCATTGTAATTGCTTATGTGGGCCCTTCCTTCTTATGATATGATTTTTTTTAGCGTAGAAGTGAATGATAATGGGGATGACCTGTGCTTTAGCCATTGGTGGTGGATCTGGTTGAAAATCTATTTGTTGTGTGTGTAGTAAATGAATCGTTTCTTGTGCCTTCAAATTCACAAAACTTGAAAACATTTATTTGAATTCTGAACCGGGTACAGCTTGAAATTCTTGGGTCGACAACTTTTTCCTCTTTGCTTGCAGCGATTCAGTGTGTTAAATGGCTTGCCAGATTCTAAAATAAAATCAGCTCTACATGTTAAGCATGCCCGGTGCCCCAAGTTTTACATAACTAATTTCTATTTTCCTGCATAAACAGCACTGCTCTGATGATGATAGCACAACAAGGCCACTTTTACTGGTCACTGCTTCTGTAGACAAGATTGTGCTGAAGAAGCCAATTAGTGTTGACATTGATCTCAAAATAGTTGGTTCTGTTATATGGGTTGGACGGTCCTCAATTGAGGTCCAACTTGTGGTCTCTCAGTCCAAAGAAGGTGCTTTACTTTTGACTCACATAACTTTAAAAATTTTACAGTGCCAAAACTTCAAACAGACTAGTCTCTCATTGGCTACCGTGTTGTTTTGTTGGTAACTTTTTTGTTTGCTATCCATGTTATATGGCCTACTCCAACACATCTGTTTCAACTAATGAACTGCCTATTGAACCAGTCTTGTTCTGACAAATACACTCTTTGCTTTAGATTTGATTGACTGGTGAGCTGAAGTATTTGAGCCAGGCCCATTTTATGTTTTTGCATTGATTAATTTTATATTATTTCATATAGATATGAAATACCAAATTGAATCTTGTTTGCTTTGTATCTGCTTTGTGGTTGGATTTCTAAGAAGCATTTATAAAATGCTTGCAGAGAGCTCTGATGATTCAGGCTCAGTAGCACTGACAGCTAACTTCATATTTGTTGCACGAGACTCAAAAACTGGAAAGGCGGCTCCAGTTAATCGACTTTCACCTGAAACTGAACATGAGAAGTTACTTTTAGAGCAACGTGAGGCAAGACATAATTTGAAAAAACGGAGAAGAGAGGGGGAGTGGAAAGATTTGGAGAATGGAGATGTAAACAGACTCAAGGCTCTGTTGGCTGAGGGAAGAGTTTTCTGTGACATGCCTGCTTTGGCTGATCGTGACAGCATTCTTCTGAGGGATACCCGCCTCGAGAACTCTCTGATATGCCAGCCTCAGCAACGAAACATCCATGGCCGAATCTTTGGAGGATTTTTAATGCATCGAGCATTTGAATTAGCTTTCTCAACGGCATATGCTTTTGCTGGATTGGTTCCTTGCTTTCTTGAAGTTGATCATGTTGATTTCTTAAAACCTGTGAGTATTTTGTCCTTTGTTTTATACTCCCATCATATCAATACCATAATTACTACTATTAGCAAATCCCGATGGCAATATTTGTTAAATCCATACCCTTAATTAGCTCATCTATAGCATCATTTTTATAGCATAAGCACGCAGGGAATATTCTTTGAAAATATTGTAACCAAATCAAATTCGACTATGTTACTGGAAAAGGAACATATATGATTGAGTTGGCATGTTGTTTGTGTTTGAAAACCTTGAGAGAGGAAGAGAAAAAGGCTAGACTTTTGCGCTTTTTGGTTCTAGCCTACATGGGTTCTTATGCGCGCGTTCTCGCAGTATTGTGAACCTGCCAATGCTTCGCTATTCTTTTTTATCAACTCGTTTGCATGAAATGTGATCTGATGCAACTTATGCTGTAAGTTGTTTTAACTGATTGCTTGATCTCTATAATGGTACATGTGAATGAAAATCAAGCTTTTTGCATGTAACCGTAAAGACCACAATTTATTGACCAGGTGGATGTCGGAGATTTCTTGCGTTTCAAGTCCTGTGTTCTTTATACCGAACTACACAATCCAGATCAGCCACTGATCAATGTTGAAGTTGTTGCACATGTTACGAGGCCTGAGCTGCAATCTAGCGAAGTTAGTTTCACTCAACTACCTTTGGACAATAAAATTAAATCGTAGATTAATTCTTCTTGCGTCCAAGCCATTGAAAAAAATAACAACTTTTCTCTTCCCTGTTTTCTTTGTCTGATACAGGTATCAAATACTTTCCATTTCACTTTCACAGTACGTCCTGAAGCAAAGGCAATGAAAAATGGCTTGAAACTTAGAAAGGTAGTACCAGCAACAGAAGAAGAAGCTCGTTTGATATTAGAGCGCATGGATGCTGATAATTTGCAATGACTCAGAGAAGGGTCATTTATACTTAGGTGGAATAAGCAGGAATTTGCAGGTAAAACTCCACATGCTAAGAGGTAGGAGAAACTTCATGCCTGTAGCTTTTTCAAAGAAAATGGAGGTAAAGTTATAACTAAGTTGTAATTTAAGGTACTTATTTTACCATGGTCCATGATGTATTTTGGAGCCCAAGTGTGGGTTATTTTGTAACATTTTCCACTCAATACCAATGGAGCTAATTAATGGCACAAAATCTGTCATTGGATTGCGTAATTGGGAACTTGTACTCTGAAAACTTGCATATGAATCTTTATTCTTTAGGTTGCCAAGACAATGTTATCTGCATTGATGATCATAGATGAACAGACTGTCTTCCCATTGGTCGTGTGATTTTAAATGCCACTAGATCATCATAGAGCGCATGGATTCTGATAGCTTGCAATGATTCAGAGAAGGATCATTTATACTTCAATAAATTAATGTGCGGTTTTTTCAAAGGAAATAGGGATATTTTTTTACAGGGTAAAATTGATGTAGTAAAGTTGTAATTAGCATTTACTTCAAGAAGGAAAATTGTATGTTTCGCTACTTGTAACATTTACAAAGAAAAACGTTTTAACTAGTTTTTTCGTATCCTTAATTTAATCTTTGATTTGACACGTTGCCAAAGAAAACGTTTAAACCCTTTTTATAATTTTAAACAAAGCCCAGGAAAGATGTGTTGTTGGAGAGGCTCCCACATGTTGGTTCAACAGATTAAAGTAAAATGCGATCAGATCTATCTTAAAAAAAATTACCAAGTAGTTTGCAATCAGTTGGTCAAAGTGTATATATATAGTTGTCAATAAAAAATAAATAATTAAATTGGAGGGCCCACATAAGTTTTGGTTAGATGAACCATCCCTCAAACCTGTCAATCAAGAATGTATCCTTTTTTTATAGTTGTTTTTCTTTCTTACTTCAGAATTTAACTAAAGGATGCTGTGTATTAGTGAATGCTTCAAAATATTGATAATCAATATCTTTTTTATTCCTATACAACTTGGATATAAAATTTTAAGAGTCAATTTAAATTTAAATTTTTAAATCTATCACATCACTCACTCGAGACAAATTAGTTACAAATCCATTTTTTTATTCCTCTTGGAACAGTATTAGAAAGTAGAAACCCTACAAATATAAATAATTTCCCCTAAATTTAAACCGCTAAAATTTTATTTTTGAAATTCGTAAACAAAATATAAATGAATGCAGATCCGTTATTGCTGGCTAATACCCGGGGAAAAATAGAAGATCAAATACAATTCATCATCCTCTTTCCCTTGCCAAATTAGCCATAACATGCCATGCATGGAATGGCCTCACAAGCCCATTACCTTCACTCTGTATCCAATGGCTTCCCAAATGAAAAATGATTGATAGAACTATTGAATAGCTTTATACACATGGTTATAAGTTATAATCTAACAATGCACATCCTATTCATATAGCATGGCAAACTTATTCTTCCAAAAAAATAAAAAACAGCTTCTACTCTACATATAATCTTATATATAACATAACTCAAATCTTTTACATGGATTTTTACAATTTTTAAACAGAGAACCAAAAAGAGTTGCATCATTTTGAGCAGACCATACACGCTCCCACCAGTCAAAAACACCTGGTACCAGGTTGTTTCTACAAAAGATGCAGCCATGAACCTCAGGGATAAGATAAGAACCTTGTAGCTATGGAGAAGGACTGTCATCATCTGAAGAGCTGTAATGTCTCTTTCCATATAATCCAGGTAGGGGTTGTGGAAGCATAGGGTTTAGGGGTTGCGGAAGGAGGGGGTTTACTGGAACTGGGAATCTATGGGCAGAACTAACCATGGTCCTCTCGTTTATTAAACCGACTTCTTTGCAGACTCGGTCAAGAACCGATAAGAAATCTCTCACCACCATGAAGATTCTGAATGGATGAGCTTCTTCCTTTGCCAAGTTACCATGGAAATACTCTGTAATCTCCTTCACTAAGGAAAGAGCAACACTTTCTTGGGCTTGAATCTTCAGGATCTCCTCCTCAGCCATCATCATAAATTTGTTCATTGATTCTGTAAATTTGTTACCACTTTCATCTTGCTTTGTCGCTTTGTTTAGTTTCACCACCTCTTTTATGTAAGAAATTCCTTTAGAAAGTTTGGAGACATCACCATTGAGAACCTCAGAATCCATAGCAGCAGCCTTCTTTACGTTTGCTAGCTCTGAACTCAGGCTCGAAACGACTTGTAGACCAAGCCTCCTACACTTGGCATCTTCGCTCGAAGAGGAGTTTGAAGTTTGTGAAGTACTCGAGAGACGAGCACCCTCAGTTCTTATAATTTCCTGTACAACAAAATGCAGTAGGGTGGTCTTCCCATCGGCGCCTTTAACATCAACAAGCTTGAGAAGCGTATCAAGCTTAAAGGCATGTGCATCGCCACGGTTTGTCCCCACATTCATACGGTTCCCAGTTTTGAGCACAGCCTCTAGAAGTTTCAAGAACATTCTACTGTTGCGCAGCTCCTCACAGGCAGCCTGCAAATTGGGTGCCATAGGAAAACTATGTTTCATCTTTTGACTTGTGCAAGAGGGGGTCATGGAGGGTAAAAAGGGGCATATGATTATTAAAATCTGAATGGCATGTTCTGAGAAAACAAGGATAAGCAGCATCACACGGAAAATACCGGTAAGCTAGGGAGGTGTCAGCTAGTATGTCGTGGTGCATTTGATATGTGCGCACGTGCGCAGGTGTGCCAATGAAAGGATTCTCATTTCTCTTTTATTTTTACAATGTTTATCATGCCAGTTGTACTCATAATTCAAGGCTTTCTAATCCTTTCTATTATTTTTATGATCAATTTCCACCATTAAAATCACTTTCTGGATTCCACTAACTTTGAGGGTTAAAAAAGGTAAAGGATGCACATAAGGTCCCAGGGCTTGTCTCCATCACACAACAATCTATTATTCACTGCAATTATTGCAACTTTTTTCTCGTGTCACCTCAGATTGAATGTTAGATAATATTCTAACCACATTTCATGTTGAACGACAATCAAAACCAATAAGAATGTATTGATCTTTCAAGAAATAGGTTAACCATATCTACAATTTCACTTTGACACCACAAGATGTGATGTGATGCAAATAATGCAGACACAGTAAATTGAAAAAGAAAAAGTCGGAGAGAATGGTTACCTCCAGAGTTTCAAACGACTTCCTGAGATACTCAACTTCAGACTCAAAATTAGCCATGTAAAGCATGGCTTCCACCCTTTTGAACGCAAATGGTACATCAAGCACAGCCTTCAAGAATTTCTCTGCAGGACCAAGTTTGGTTGGTGAGTCATCTTTATGTTCCTTCAGTTTACGTTCTTCTTCTTTGCTTGGCGCCATCTTTAACAAGCTTTCGAGTAGTTCTGTTCCAATTGTATCGGCACTACCTGTACAAAGGTAGATTTTTATGGTTGTATGTTCAGATTTCAGTATCTCAATAGAATCAGGAAGGTTGCCGGTGAAACTATTGCCAGCAACCTAGTTGTCATGCAAAAGGACTAGAATCCATCTACTTCAAGCTAAAGCTACATAAAACCATATTTATGGAAGAGAAATGACACCTTATTACAAATTTAATATACAGAATCTGAAACATGACATGTAAACCCTCCCATCCCCAAACTATCACGAAAAGTGAAAACACTACAAATCAATTAAACTGTAACCAAAAGGGGGGATTTATGACTAAAACACACATGATTGCCCGACACTGCATAAATGTTTACATTTATATTTATGTGGCTTTCCTAAAAAATGACACGATAGCAAGATTCATCCCACGATAAGCAGTAACGACACACACAGAAATCTCCCTACAAGTTAATAAGCCTTGAACCTCACTTGAGAAAACAAAAAAAAAAAAAAAACCAAAGAAATATTAAGTTGGCATATGTCAGCAAAATCACCAAGCGCCAGGAATAAAGTTCAGGAATCAATGTAGGAATTAAGTTTAATACATTATATGGAAAATACCTTCTACTAGAGCTTCACAAACTTCTTCAACAGTCACGTTTAGTGCCCTCAGTAAAATTGCAATATTTTGTGACTTTTTAGGATCAAGTACCCTGTCCTCCTGTTTTGGCGGGGGAAGAACTGATCTTGGTGTAGTATCCTTTGGTTTTGGATTTGGTGTATTGACAACAAACAATGTCTCAATCATTTCCTCGTTTACTCTGCACCCAACCAATTCAATGCATTCAATCCAAGAAAAATGACCATATAAATTAAACATATGAAAGCTCAACTACTAATAATGCTCATAACCATAAAAGAACATAGTCAGTGTTGAGTATCTTACTTAAAAGAGCTTGACCTCAACTGATCCCACACCATTTCACGATCAGAACTAGCTCTAACTTTATCCCAATGCAACGGCTTCAACTTTGGTTTTGGAGTCTCCTCATTTATCCCCAAATTTTGTTGCTGAGAATTTGGAGGCAACTCAACTGGAGACACATCAGTTGTTGGATTTGTCACCACAAAAGGCCTGGAAGGTGGTATCAGTTCTGGCGGCCTAGAAACTGGCTGATCAGTGGGTGTCGAAGGAGATGGAACATCCCATTGTTTCCGTATTCGTTGGTGGGGTGGCTGAGCTGGAGGTGGAGGTGGAGGAGGAGGCGGTGGTGGTGGAGGAGGAGGGGGAGCGGGAGAAACTCTGGGCTGAGCAATGGGTGTTGAGAAAACTGGAATCTCCCAATGTTTCCGCTGTGGTGGTGTAGCAGGAACTGGAGATTCCGCATTTTGATCCAAAACTTTATCTCCTCTTGCTGTTTGGCCAAAAAGGGATGTGAGGATGGGAATCTCCCAGTGTTTTCGCTGTGGTTGCGGAGGTGGAAGAGAAGCAAGAACTGGAGAATCTCTGTTTTGATCCACAACATTTTCAACTGTAGGAGAATCATCTGAAGTGTTGTTCAATTCTCTTTCTGGTGATGAAAGCAGGGTCGGCATAGGAGATTGCCTATACCGATCTGAAACATTTGATAGACTTGGAGAGTGATCCAAACCGTGCTCAACCACTTTTTCAGGTGATGATGGCAGAGAGAAAGCTGAAGAAGACGACAGAGACTTCTCGCTATGATTCGAAGCACTGGATAATCTAGGTGACGCACATAAGATCTTCTCCCCGTTTCTCGCCGGTGATGCATCGGATAATCTTGATGATGCACATAATACTGCTTCCGCGTCTCCCTCACATGATGCAGTGGATAATCTTGAAGACTCGCAGGAAGTTTTCCCAGAATTTCTCTGCGGTGATGCAGCTGATAATCTTGATGGCGCACATGAAATTTTCTCCACATCCCTTTCCGGCGAGGTAGTGGATAATCTTGGTGATCCAAATGAAATTTTGTCCGCATTTCTATCTATTGGTGCATCCGGAAATCTTGGTGACGAATGAGAAAATTTCTCATCATGCCTCTCGGGCGCATCTGATTTTTTCTCAACACATCTCTCGGGCGATGAAGAAACAGGAGACGAGGAAGAAGACCGAACATTTTCAAATGTGACGCTTGTTGCTCTCGCTGCCCCGCCTGGGTTCTTCCCAGAAGCTCTATTTGGTGATAACGAGAGCGGAGACAGCAATGGAGACTGACCATCTCGTCCAGAAGCTATCTCTGGTGTTGAAGATAATGAAGACATTGAAGAAGATTGCACATGCTGATTGCGTACTGGAGATAAAGAAAACTGGCTTCTCTCTGACGATGAGCGTAAAGATCCCTCGCCTGTGTGCGCTTCAGTCTGGGGTTGAGCAGGCAGTGGTGGCTGTGGTAGCGGTGGGGATGATGGCAGCAGAGGAGAGCTGTCCACCACTGTAGCTTCCGGTGATTTCGGCTGCGATCTTTTGGGGCTCAAGCTCGCCGGCGGTGATAGGCTAATCGAATGTGACCGACCCGGTGAGCCCGAAGTGGAAGAAGAATACGAACTAGAACTCGATTCACTGCTGCCACCCATAAAATTCTCTCCCGCAATCGCCGCATACACTCTACGAGAACCTGATCCAGTGCCATTTGAACTCTCTTGACCACCCAGAGATCCTTTGGGCGAGTAGAATTCCTCTTCCTCATCGTCCGCCGTAGCGGAACCCGCATCATCACGAGCCGCTCCATATTGCTGTCTCGAACCTAGCCGCACAAGAGGCGGAAGCGGACGGAGCTCCGGCGAGTCCATTTTCCGAGGGTCCACAGCAGCAGCACCACCCCCACTTCCTCCTCCGCCACCGCCACTACGTCCATCGTGACCACCATCGTTGGCGCGCGAACCAGAACGATCCTCGACACCCCTCGGATTAACAATGGTACCGAGATAAAGAAACTCGGAGCTAGTTGAAGAGGTGTGCCTCACCTTTCGACCTCCATTACCAGATTCAGCATTGGGAGGGAACAGCCGGAGACTACTATCGGATCTGAGAGTCTTCTCGTCCGCAGAGTACTGCTTCCTCCTCCGCCGACAGTAAACAAAAGCAGAAATGCCAGCGACAAGAACAGCACAGACGACAGCACCAATGGCAACTCCGAGCAGTTTCCCGGAAGAGGATTTAGATTTGGATGCGTGCGGGAGTATGAGAGATGAGATATTGGCGGGGAAGGAAGCAAAAGAAGCCGGAGAAGGAGGCGGAGGAGGTGAAGGGTAGGTAGGGAAAAACGGAGATTGATTAGGGGTAGTAGTGGAAAAGGGGTATTTAGCGTTGGGCGGCGCTGGGGGTGAAGGAGGAGGAGAGATTGGAGGCGGAGAAGGAGGAGGAGAACCCAAAGGCTGAAATGGCTCATGCAGGATCCTCCGTCCTGGAGAAAGAACGGGTTTTAAACAGAGAATCAGAGGCAGGCAGGTCAAAAGGAGGAGGAAGAAGAAGAAAATCGTGAAGAAGGAACGCATTGTAGTGTGTATGCGTGTCTCTCTCTTTGTGAGAATGAAGAAGGATGGGCAAGAACTAAGAGGCGAAGAAAAGAGAAGAGAGAGGATAATGCAGTAATGGGACGGGGAGAGACAGAGAGAGAGAGAGAGAGAGACGCGCGCACACAGACACAGTGATGAAGGAGTGAGAAAGAGAGAGAGTCACAGGGAGAACAGAGGAGGGGAGAGAGAGACTGTGAAAAGGTCGAATCAGAGGGAAAAAAAAAAAAAAGCTGTGAGAGAGAGAGAGAGAGTAAATTAAGGGAGAAAGGCAAATGGATGTATCCAGCTAAGATTCTGCTGGTCGCGGATTACGCCATTATTAGGATTTCAGAACAGAGACTCTGTATAATGCTTTCCTCTATGATGCTCCGATCCATCATCCATTTCCTTCCTTCTTCCTCTTTTGTCAATTTCCCAGCACTTACTTCAGATACAGTCAATTTAATTTAACATCTCACTCTCATTTATGCTTTAGTCAAATCCTCATATTTGTCCCCTTAATGCTCCCCACGCTTACTATTCTACTCCGTCGTATATAAGTCATTATTTTTCCTGAACTTCAGAAAATCTTAAATTTTATTAATTGTATAAAAATTGAATAAGTTTTACATTTTATTTTATTAAAAATCCATGCTTTTAAAAACAAAATCTTCCAATATTTAATAATTTTTTCAGCATCTAGTAAGGATGACAGAACAAAGATGAGCACAAAAATCATAAAAATGTTCAAGCACCCTACAAATATAACTTAAATAAATATTCCCTTCGTTAAAAAATATAAGACATTTTTTAAACAGTTACATGTTGAAAAAATATAAGGTATTTTTAATATTTTAAAACATAATTATTATTTTTTTTAAAAGTGTTCCTATTGATAGTAACTTTATATTTATTATAAGGTATTTAATAAAGATAAATATAAAAAGATAAAATTAATTTAAAAATATATAACTATCTTAAAAGGTAAGATTTAATTAAAAAAATGTTTTAAATGGAGGAAGTAATATTTTAACTTAGGCTACAAGTAACACTAGACTCTGAGGAATATTTTTTCTGGGACCTGTGTTTTCACTTTACAAGATACTCTGACTCTGCCTATTGTGACTCATGGGTTTTTTTTTTAAATTACACAAAAATTTAAAATTAACTAAAAAATATAAAAATATATCTCAAAAATTACAAAAAATAACCAATAAAATTTTATATATATATTTTTATAATTTTTTATCTTTGTCTTTAATTTTTGAGTTATTTATTTTAATTTTTTACCTTTTCTATAATTTTTGAGATATTTTTATCATTATATAGTCAATTAATAATAGAGGTTACATTACATTATTTTCTAAAATTAAAGAAAAAATATTATATGAAAAATAAGTTTAGGATTCCCAACAATCCTAGAAATATATACTCCCTTAGTTCAAAAATATAAGATATTTTTTGAGAAGTTGGATGTTTAAAAATGTAAAGTATTTTTAGCCTTTTAAGGTGTAATCATTGTCTTTTTTTAAAAATATCCCTATTAATAGTGATCTTATATTTATTATAGAGTATATAATAGGGATAAATGTAAAAAGATAAAGTTAATTTAAAAGTAGGTAACTATTTTATTGAGAGATGAGATTCGATTAATTTTTAAACCAAGAGGGGGCATATAATTTAAGGGTCAATTTATTATCCCTTTACCCTTAATAAATTAAAGGTTATTATGTACATATGACTTTATGGATTTCTTATCTAGTTAACACTCAAGTCAATTTGTCTTCGTTAAGTTTAATTTGGAGATGGATTATCGTGTTGTTCAAGTTTATGAATAGGAACAAGCAATGATCAATAAAAAGGTTATAGACTCTATGATTAAGTTTAACGTTAAATGTTAAAAGCATGCTAATGGACAAGTTGAAGAAATGAATTAGTTATAGTGGCCATCACATAACATAGAAACTAGCAAAGACATAATAATTATAGATAAGAATGCAGCTGATTTTATCACCATATAGTATTAACATGCAAATTTAGGAGTAGTATTTTTCAAACATAGGACGATGATAATATTGACTAATTAATGAAATCTATCTTGGAGAAACTTACAAAACAATAATGTCCGTTACCAAATGCGATTATATGTTTTCTTGTTTTTACTCCAAAAGTGTAATTTGCTTCTGTTGAATAACCGTTGAGCCTTCGTTATCCATTCAGTCTAATCTCTCTAACCATTGCTAAGAAAATCAATATATTACCTTCATGCATAATTTACCGAAATTAGGTTTTATTATAGATATAGATATAGATTATAGATTTTTCTTAGACATAATGTGTAGCACCACAAAAAGTAAAAAATTCTACCAAACAAAAAAAAGGAAGAGACAATTGGCAGGCAAAAAGCAGGATTTTGAGGTGAATTTAGCTTTTAACCACATTAAATAATAAATTTAGCTTTTGTTGGAAAGTGGGAGGAGATATGAAGAAATAACAGAGTTGACGGCACCTTTGAATGGTACACATCTCAGCTACGTGGTCAATAATGTTGGCGTGTGATCAACGTGTCCGTAAAAAAAACTCTTTGTCAAGACCTATGCTAGTGCTATACCTAGTGAATATAAATAGATGGAAGAATTTCAGTTCGGTAGCTTTGCAAACACTTAAATTTATGTGGGTTTAAAAATTTTTTTAAATTTAGTTCAATTAAAAAAAATAAAAAAACTTCATCAATAAAAATATTAAAATAGAATCACTAATTATTTATTATTTTATTATATTATTAATTTATTAATATCACTTGTAAATTATATCCTTTTATCAGACAATCAGTAACATTAATTATTAATTTACTAACTTTATTCATTAATTTACTAACATCAATTATAAATTACAATAATTACAATAATTTATATTTGATGTTAGTAAATTAATAAATAAAATTTCTAATTTAACAACTAATATTGCTTCTTGTAATTAAAAAATTAATGTTAAGTTTTATATAATTATTGACATGTCAATTCATATAATTTACAACTCATATTCATAAATTAATAAATAGAGTAAGAAAATTAATAATTAGTAATTCTACAAGTTGAAGGGTATTTTAATTTTTTTTACTAGTGAAGTTCTTTTGACTTTTCTTCCCTAAACTAAACTGAAATTTTAAATTTTTTAGACCCACCTAAAATTAAGTCTCTTCAAAGATATTGAGCTAAAATTCTCCCTTAAAGAATTTGTATTCTTTCTTTCTTTTATTTTTCAATTTCTATTCAATGTATTTTAGAGGGATGCCCACATGAAATTAAACATATTCTAAAGAGAAAATGACATTTCAGGGTTAAAATATTGCAACAAAAGCTTATTAGTTTTGTATTGAATGTTATATTATAAAATCACATATATGTTATATTATCAAAGGCTAAACCTTCACTATATATAAAAAAACTATACTTTAACTTGTAATTTTTGTTAAGTTTTTCTTAAAAATGTAACGAGTTAAAGTTCAATTTTTAATAATAACATATATGTATTTTTATAAAATAATATTCGATACAAAATTGATGGGCCTTTATTATGATAAATTCCTGAGAGAACTTTAAATGTTATTCTTCCTATTTTGAATGAATAATTTGCAAAAGACCTTTCAAGTAAATTTATTTATTTAAATTTGACCGTTTGTAATAACATACTCCCTTGACTTCTTGATGTGAGGCAAATTTTGAAAGAAAAAAAAAAAAGAATTAGAAACTATTTGAAAGTATTTTTATTTTATTATTTTGAGAACTGATATTTTATAGAACATGTTTTCAAAATAAAAAAATAATAAAAATATATTTTTTTTATTCTTTTTTATTTTTCGGAACAATAATCACAAAATATTTAAAAGTTGTTTTCATTTTTCTGTTCTCAAAAATAATATATTATTTTTTTACTTTTTAAAACACTTTTTAAAAATATATTACCAAACAAATTTTTTTGTTTTCTTGTTCTAGAGAATAGAAAATTGTTCTCAAAACAAGTTTTCAAACAGGGCCTAGGCTAAAACAATTTTCAAACAGATTCTCAAAACTATTCTTCCTTAGTATTTATATAAGCTAAAACTATGTAGTATCTCATACTTTTTTTCAATTTTATCCTTTATTTATTTATTTTCATGTGAATTCCTATAAAACAATTTATTATGTTTATTGATAGTAAAGAGAGAGAGAGAGAGAGAGACAACATAGAAAAGTTACATATTTTTTAAACAATTTCAAATATGTAACTATAGTTTCTTACTAAACATGTAGTTAAGTTTGCCTTAAATTAACTAACTAACAAAGAGAGTACACTTAATAAATACTCTATGATTTGTAAGATGGGTAATTAATCTATACTTAATAATGACTGAATTTTGGTGGCCTATCATCTGAATTGATTCTGCTCTAGCAATGAGCATATATCGTCATAAAATCAAGCATCATTTAATATGGATTCTACTAAGAGAAATTGTTTTAAATTCTGTATACACACTTTTGAAGTGGCCTAGAGTACTGGCTAGCTGTGGTTGATACTTCATAATAAAGTTTGGAACCATTTTGGTTGTAAGCAATCAAATCATACATAGAGCTTGTGGACTTGGCCTTTCTTCTTTTGTAGGGATGCTCCATTGTGGAGGTTTCTTTTTTCCTTGGCGTGGAGTATCCGGTATTCTAAATGCATCTATATTGAATTGAGGGAATTTAATAGGAGTCAGACTAATCCAGATCGAGCCAAGATTAGATCATTTCAGATGGAAGCTCTATCGTTAATATTACTAAATTTTTAGAACTCAAGCATGAAATATCTTATTAAACTAATACAATTTTTTTTTACTAGTTATATTGCTTGGTTCCATGCATCTTGTTTCTTAGCAGTCTGTGGATTATTAGTTAAGTATTTCTCAAAGTGATAGTGCCCCATTTGGGTTGGTTGTTAAACCCTTGACCCCTATTTTGTTTTGTCAGTTTCTCTTTTTGTTGTATTGCCTTTCTACTAACGTATTATAATTAGTCTTCACTTGTTTTTATTTAATCTAGTTACATTTTGATCCAGTTGTGAATAATGTTAAGAAAAATTGAACAAGTTATTGAATCGGTTGGGACTTTAATTCATGATTTAATGGTCAAACTATGGTCCAATAAGTCATTGATAGATTAATATATTTTAAAAATATATGCCTAAAATAAAAAGAAATAGTTATATATAGTAATAATTAAGAATGAATTTTTAAATTTCAAACAAAATGATATGAATTAAAAAAGGTAATATCCATTAATATTCTCTCCTTTTGATTCAAAATATATATACATATTTTATAATTTATAACTTTAAAATATGTATAT